TGCTGAACCAGCAAGGGTGCCTCATGGGTGGAGGCGTGGGTGTGGCGCAATCCCAGGTCGGTTTTCACGGCTTCTACAGAAGCAGGCCACCGTCCTCCCGAATTCCACAGCCAACGCAAGCAGTTTAAAGCACACCCATGTGGCTTCTCCCTGTTGCAAAACTCAGCAGTGTGCGACAAGGAGCTCTGCCTCTCCGACGAGGGTTGCCGGCCCCGGCTTGGGAAATACCTGGAGATTTTGAGGTTGGAGCCTGTGGAGGGTGGGGTTTGAGGTGGGGAGGGATCTCAGTGGGGTATAAATGGCCATAGGGAGTCCATCCTCCAAAGCATCCTTTTTCTCTGGGGAAACTGACCCTTTATTGCCTGGATATCAGTTGTAACCGATGCTCCCTGTAAGCTGTGGAGAGTCTTGTGAGCAAAAGAATCTACTCTGTGAGCCGCCGGTGTTAAAGTTGTGAGCCAGCGATTTGGCTGCTGCCTGAATCAGTTTGCTCTGGAGCCCTCCTTCCTGGGGTAAGACAAAAAATGTATGAGCCGGAGGCTAAAGGACTGTGAGCTAGGGCACACTAACTCAGCTTAGAGGGAGCACTGGTTGTTGTAATCCATGCTCCCTCTAAGCTGTGGAGTCTTGCGAGCCAAAATTCTACTCTGTGAGCGACTGACATTAATGTTGTGAGCGAGCGATGTGGCGACTGCATGAATCAGTTTGCTGTGGAGCCCTCCTTCCTGAGTGAAGGCAAAAATGTGTGCGCCGGAGGCTAAAAAACGGTGAGCTGGCTCGCACTAACTCGGCTGAGAGGGAACACTGGTTGTAACCAATGTTCCCTCTAAGTTGTGGAGAGTCTTGTGAGCAAAAAATCTGCTCTGTGAGCCACCGGCGTTAAAGTTGTGAGCGAGCGAGCGATTTGGCTGCTGCATGAATCAGTTTGTTCTGGAGTCCTCCTTCCTGAGGTAAGACAAAAATGTGTGTACCAGAGGTAGAGATGTGAAGGCCCGAAAAAAATTTTTTCCCCTTTTTTTCCTGAAACCCTCCCCCCCCCCCCAAAAAAAAAATTGGAAAAATTGAAAAAAGAAAAGAAAGAAAATTGATTATGGAACATTTTATTTTAACATGATGAATAAAATATTTTAAGACAAGGTGTTCCAATATTTTCCAAATCATTTCTAAAAAAATACGTATGGGGTCAGATTGATCTAATTTCTGTGCACTGAGGACAAGCAAGTCCTAGGTTGCAAACTGAACTCTCCAGTGCAAGAACAAGATGCATTTTTTCCCCTTAGGAGGTGCTGTTGTCACAAGAAAAGAAAAAGGTTTCAGTTTTGTTTTTGCATGTGGGTGGGTATTCTGTTTGTAATAATTGTTTGGGTACACGATGTCTTTAATATGCTAGTTGTGATAATCTCATGCCAAGTAAAAATGCCCATAGTCATATTTTATGTTCCTAAAGTAACAGAATGACTTTCAATCTGGAAAAGACAAAAGAAGTGCTAATGTAGCAATTTTTTTCCAATTTTTCCGTTTCCCCCCGAAAAAAACCCCGTTTTTTTTTTCTGAGCTTCAAAATGTCCGGAAATTTTACCTCTCTAGCCAGAGGCTAGCTCACACTAATGCAGCCTGGAGGGAGCACTGGGTGTAATAGTGGGAGGTCTCCGGGCCCCGCCTGTAGGGTAGTGCCACAACCTCCTGCCGATCCCACCCCCCATTGTGAATGCCAAAGGACTGGAGGGGGGAAAGTAGGGTCCGTGGGCACCGCGGCTAATGGCCAGCGCCTGAACCCATCCGAAATCTGGGCCTACACTTAGGATGGGATCCCTCTTTGGAGGCTGCCTTTTCATGGGTGTGCCGATGGATTCCCTCCTTGCTTTGCCTGCACAGGGAAGCGGGGTAGCGACACTTGGCAAGTCCAGAGGGAAGGGGCAAAGACCTCAGTTGGTTAGGGTTGCCAACTTCCAGGTGGTGGCTGGAGATCTCTCAGAATTACAACTGTTGTCCAGGCAGCCAAAAAAAGGGGGGAGGGAGCCAGTGTACAATGCAAGAACCCAAAAAAAGAACACCACTTGGCAAAAAATAACTTACAAGCAAATAAGCAAGTATATAATGATCAAATAAGCATAGCAGCAAGTATAATGTAAATCAAATAAGCATAACAACAAGTATGATATAAATCAATAGGCCAAAGTGCACTGATAAATCATAACAGAAACAGTCACAGTCTTCTCCAGCATAGAGGCAATATCAAAGTCCAAATTGGAGTGCCAATCATCAAATTTTCTGAGCCATCAAAAGCCGAAGCGTAATCCGGATGCCTGAAGCCGCTTTTCGAGTTATTCTTATTCAAGCATGGCTGTAATGGGACCCAGTCTCAAAAGCTGGCATATGCTAAGCCAGAATGGTCAGTCACCTCTTTCTTCCCGAGTCCGGCAAGCGCTGAGCTTGCCAGATTCAGGTAGAAAGAGGCGACAGCGGTCACCCGATCTGGGAGATGCGGGGCTTTTGGCGGGGCCGGGTGCAGTTTGGCGCCCTAGGGCCAGCCAGTCAGTGACTAGCTGGCCCTAGGGTGCCAAACTGCACCCGCCAAAAGCCCTGCATCCAGTTCTGCTTTCGTTGCGGGTGGAGCGGGGCCCTGGATGGGGTGCTGAACTGTGCCTCCCCCCCCCCCATGCCCTCCGCATCCCTCTGGCAAGGAATCCCACATTTTAATCACTCTTTGTGTAAAGTAGTATCTATATGGTGTCAAAGGCTTTCACGGCCGGAGTTCATTAGCTGTTGTAGATTTTCTGGGCTGTATGGCCTTGCCATTGTAGGACCTGACGTTTCGCCCGTAGCTGTGTGACTGACATCCTCGGAGGTAGAACACAGAGAGTACATCTTCCTGTTGTTAATGTTCTGCTACGTATCAGGTGATTATTGTTGAGCTGAAGGTTATAGAAGTCTATAGATTATGTTTAAGTCTACTTTGTAATTTTTTTTTACATCTAGTTCACTTGTTCATATGGTTACTATGTGTTATATATGAATCTTCCCTTTTCTGTAATCGTTTCTGATTTTGTGTTCGTGTGATGGTTTTTGATAAAAATAAATAAATTAAAAGACCTATTTTAAATATATATATGTATATACTAGTTTATATATATATATATATATTAGTGTGTATGTATGTATGTATGTGTG